GAACTCCTGAGCTCAAACAATCCGCCCGCCTCGGCCTCCCAGAGTGCTAGGATTACAGGCATGAGCCACCACGCCCGGCTGACATGATGCTTTTGATAAGTCTGATAACCAGTCTGATTCTCGATCCTTTGGATACCACTGTTTTTTGTAATCCTTTAAGGTCTTTTGTATCCCTAGTGTTTTGAACTTTATTTTACTGAGTAATCAGATACAGATTGAGTATGTCTTATCTAAAATGTTTGGAACCAGAAGTGTTTCGGCTTTCAGATTTTTTCAGATGCTGGAATATTTGCATATGCATAATGAGATATTGTGGGGATGAGAAACAAGTCTAAACATGAAATTCATTTATATTTCATGTATACCTTACACATAAAGGCTGAAGATAGTTTTATACAGTATTTTTAATTTTGTGCCTGAAACTATGTATGTACATTGAACCATCAGAAAGCAAGGGAATTAGGTGTGGCATTTTCCACTTGTCATTTTGGTGCTCCAAATGTTTCAGATTTCATAACATTTCATATTTCATATTGTTGGATAATGGCTCAACCTGTGGCTTCAATCTGCAGTTGTATAAGGTGAGCAAAACAAAGGTTTCTATCCTCTCCCCTCTGTTTCCTAGAGGAGAACATATTCAGTAAAATGACAACTGATGGCTACAGTGTGTTAGATGCGGGGGTGACAGGGAACATTAGATCCGTGTCACCGGTGTGGGAGGGCTGTGGCTGGTCAGGGCAGGCATCTTGGGGGGTGTGGAATCTGAGCAGACATTGGAGGTGAGGGAGTAGGTTTGCAGATAGCCTGGGTGGGGGCCGAGGAGAGGGGCATTTCAAAGGTAGTGGCTAGACCAAGTATACGGGGAAGGGCTTGCCAGGCTGTGGCAGCACGGAGGCTGGTGACTGGAGCGGAGTGCGTGGAGGGAAAAGGGATGGGAGTGAGGGCAGGGGATGTTGGTGTATTTCTCTCTGATTTGGTCTTGGGGTTTCTCCAGAAGGTGGCTGTAAACTCCAGCCCTGGCCTGCCCCGGCTTCCATTAGAAGTGCAAATGGAACAAATCTTCTGGAGCAGAAGGTAATTGGATTAACACATACTTTGTATGTTATATGCATTATGCACTGTATTCTTACAATGAAGTAAGCTTGAGAAAAGGAAATGTTATTAAGAAAACCCATAAGTAAGAGAAAACATGTACTATTCATTAAGTAGGAGTGGATCATCATAAAGGTCTTCATCCTTGTCATCTTCACACTGAGAAGGCTGAGGAGGAGGAGGAGAGAGAGGAGGAGTTGGTCTTGCCATCTCAGTAGTGGCAGAGGTGGAATAAAATCCATGTAAAAATGCACCTATTCAGCTAAAACCCATATTGTTGAAGGATCAACTATGAATTAGTCTTGCCAGAAAAGCTGAATCTGAATTTAACAAGCCTTTATAGCTAGCTTTCAATTTACAGCAAATGTAGGAGGATCAAGGAATAAGTTGACAGTGAGGAAATGACACATGAATGCGCAGAAGAATACAGGACGGTGGCCTAGTCTCTTCGACAGGTTGATAGTTTTCTTTTTCCTTTTTTTAATTGAAACTGATAAAGTTTCTAAATGTGAGACATGTCACTTCTCCCAATCCAGATTTGAACACGCTAACTTTAAAAAGACAGTCATGAGCCATTTGGGGAATTTTGAACGTAGATTACTTATAAAATGATACCAAGGAGGAGGCATTACTTGTTTCTGTATGATGAAGGTACTTCCGGTAATGTCCGTACTTTTCATAATTTGTGCTAAGGTATAAAGGAATGAAATGATAGCAAACAAAAGGGGGAGAAAAAGACAAGGAATTAAAATCTTGGTGAATGTGGCTTGATGCAAAGATGGTATTTTTAAGATTCTATTCTCTCAGGTTCTCTGTGTAGTTGAAATTGTTTGTAATTATTTTTAGAACGTGTATTAAAAAGTACACACTAAGTTTAGCTGCATAAGGGAGAGAGAGAAGAATGGTTCCAGGGGACTTCAGCGTTATCTGCAATATTTAATTTTTCTCCATGTGAAAGTATTGAATCAAATTTGACAAAATTTTAACAGGTATTATTTCTGCATAGATTTGTTATAAAGCATTTATAATGAAAAAATCAGACTGGTTTGTCTCTGTATAACATTTTGGCTTCAATCATGGATTTTTTGCATTGACTGATTTATAAACATAATTGCCTTCAAAAGCATTGATGTTGATTTCTGAGTTTTTTGGTGCCGCTTCAGTTTTGCGCCTGAGAGGACGGCCCCATTTCCCCACCCTGCCTTCGCCCTGTGACTCAAAATGTGGGTCAGACTGGAGCCGTGGTTTGAAAGCAGGAATTCTGGACACATCGGAATCTATTTTTATTAACCACGTGCTCAGGTCCCACTCTAGGAAAGCTGCCTCTGCCCTGCGTTTCCACACGTCACACCTCCTTGCCAGCACCCTCAAGCCAAATACTGCCCGGAACACACCTGTGTTGGAACAGTTGGGTTTCCTACGCACAGTGCGAAGAACACACACCATGGGGAGTTCTAGGGGTTTTCAGTAAGCAGATGTTAGAAAGGACTTACTGTATTTTGGGGTTCACATTGTGTTAGGCAATTTGGGGGAAGATTTAAGGAAAACAGGGCTTTGCTGTGATGGGCTGTTTTCAGGAAGTGGAGTGATTTTGTGGTTGGGTTCTTGATGAATCTAATGGAGGAGTGAACTAGAAGGCTGAGGCTGCAATGAGTAAAGTGATGGATATATCAAAAGAAAAATTTTGACATTTGATTTGTAAGAAAAAAGACATTGTGTTTATATAGTCATAAAACAGTTTGAGAATATGCAAGAAATTGAGGTTAAAAAAACACACACAAAAAAGTAACTATAATAGAGGTAATCACAGGTGAGAAAACTTGGAAAAAACAGAACTCTTTTCTCTGACGCTGAAGAGTGGATGATTGGTGGGGAAAAAATTATGCAGGCATTTAAAGATGATCTAATTCTGGATACTAACTATCACTTCTGAGGTTTTGTGAATACAAAAGTACATTTTAGAGATCTGTTTCTACATTTGACCTGTGTCATCTAAGGAATTTGATTCAGGCAGATGTTTCTTGCAGAAAAGTATAAATAGTCGATGTGGGTTTACAAGAACTGTTTCCAAATAGAGAAAATGATCAGCATAAATTCATAATGGGTACTGAAAAATACAGCTGTGGAATAATTACTATGTTTCACTAGATACTGTTCTAATTCCTCTTTGTAAAAATTCAAAGTGAACGAGATTTAACGTAGAGTTAAGAGTGATAAACCACTTAACCACCCTGAGCTTCAGCCTAGCATTTATAAACATTCATACTTAAGGTAAGGATTTAGTAAATGTATTTTATGGAGCTTAGTACTAGTTTATTTTTTTGTTTGTTTGTTTTATTTTTTT